TGAGAGTAGAGACTCCTCCAGGTGTCGCTGCTGGGACTTTCCTGGTGTTCTGCAAGGGAGATGAAACTGAAATATACAAGTTTCTCTGTTTCTTCAAAGATTAAGATATTTCCAAGAGGTGTTCATCCTTTCCTAAAAGCATAAGAGAGCCTCAGACAATTGTGTACAGAAGCAAGAAAGTCTAATCTGACAGGCAATACAATGAGCTTCATTTTAGCATCTTATTAGCCAATCCTCTCTGTACAGTATCACAGAGCTGTGCCAAGACAAGAAAAGAAGAGTGGATCTCACATCTGCAGAATCACTGTTAGCCATGTGTTGCACCAATTATTTGACATCTGTCATCTTGATGTGTGTCACAACAGCTACATATCCGGGTTGTTACTGTCCTTACCCCACTGGTACAGTCACTGACGTTCCGGGAGAGGAAATGATGGATTCAATGCCTTCACTAGAACCACATGCTCTCTGAGAAACACCGTCTGCCTGGTCCTTACAGGTCAGGTTCTGAAGAAGTTAACTAGGATTTAGGGAACATGTCATTTGGATCTAAAGCCCAGTTGCTGAGACCTGTGTCTGTTCTGAATACAGACTTAAAGTTATCTATGGGCTTTCTCTCACACTGAATGACCAGGAAGGCTCACTGGAGCTGCTTTCCGAGCAACCCCTGAAGCTGTGTCTTGAGGCTTTAATTGCAGTGTGTGAAATGGCTACTGACTCATTTCTTCCTGCATTTATCCCTCACTGCTCCACAGGAAGACTAAAAATCAGGGGCAGAGGTCAGCTCTAGGAGCCAGGAAATCAGTGTTTTGAACGCAGCTCTGCTACTCTTTTACCAGCTAGGACGTCTTAAAAACCAGCATCTCTTGGATCAGCCTCCCCCAAAATAAAATCTATAATCTTCATTAGCATGATCCTTTGGGTCCATAAAAATCTCAAGGAGGGGTTCTTGTTTTAAGTCCGCCATAATCCTTACCTTACCTTTCAACCACCTTCTGTAGCAGCCTTCTCAATCTCTCTTCCCCCTCCCACCTCATTTCTCTGGGAAACTAGCCAGTGTGATGTCATTCCTCTCCTGTTTTTGAAAGAAAGTGAAAGGATAGTCCACCATCCTTCTGGAAGAAACCAGAGCTGATGGACAAAACAGAACACTGACTCAAGGACTGCATCTATTCTGAAAATTTTGATGTTCAAAGAAATTTTAGAATTGGCAATGATCTGAAGATAAGATGGCATGCCAAACAATGTGGGATTTTAGACTCTTGTTCTGTCTCTGTCAGTAACTCACTCTGTGACCTATGACAAAGGTGCAATGGGGACAACACAGGGAGCATGGAAACCATGTGTTTGCCAGATTTGGACCAGGGACTCTTGAAGGCAGCTTCTATTCTAAAACCCACACAAATTCTCACAGAAGCATGATTTTCATAATTTAGAATGTCCATGGGGTGAAACTTTTCTCTTCTGTCCCTTGGGTCTCGGAAAACCTGAACATGTGTCTTCTACCTGTGGTTAGAGAGCGTGCACAAAAAGTCAAAATACTGGATCCAGGGCTGACCTCCTGGCCCACATTAGTGCCTGCAGTGCAGGATACATCAGCACAGTCTGATAGAATGGTCTGGAAAGGCATCTCTACCTCTCAGCAAACAGTGCTCTCCATCTAAATACTAAATTTAAAAGAAAAACTTCCAGAATCCCAACAGCCAAACATCAGCTTAGCCTCCATGGCCAGATAGCTCTCATATTCTATCTCTCAAATTAAGCCCTTCCAGACTAATAGTCACTGGGAAGACAGATAGCAGAGATACAGCCCACGATCCACCAAGTTCTGGGGCCACTGCAGGATTCTACTGCATGGGTACCTCTTAAAACTCTTTATATATACAATAGATTGTCTTATCATGGATCCACATGTTGATGAGACCTGAGCTGCATGACTGGTACCCCACACAATACTATCTAGGTCTTAACAAGACCGTGGGGACTTTCAGAACCACCAACACACTCCTTGATCAACACTAACTGGCCAAATATTCAAGCTTCCCTCCAACTCTGTGACTTGCATTATAACTTGGATGTCCTTTTTATACTTATGGCATCATCATGTGGAGGAAAGAGGGTTACAGCATTAGCCGTTAGCTGAGGGCTTTGTAATCCTTCAGAAACCACTAAGAGACGCTTAGTGTTTGGGTCCCACCAAGCATCCTTTACTCTCTGTTGGCCTCTCCAAATGTGAACTAACAGAAATGGTGCACTCCTCTGGGATCTTCTTCAAGCTCCACAGTGTTACTCTCTCAATAACCAGCTCCCTCCTTAAACCCGTCCCAGCAATGTCATTCTTAGAATGAGAAGCCAGTGTTTTTCCTTTAGCATGAAACCATCTAATCAATTCTTTAAGAAAAATTAGTCTGTCTGCCATTTGATTTCAGGAAATGCAAATGCTTCAAAATAAGGCTGAATTTTTTCCATCATTGGGTTTCTCAGAATTACAACTGAGGTCACCCCACTGTGCATGTGAAGACCAAAGGGGAAAAACAGAACAAAAAAAAAAAAAAGTCTGTGTATGAGAGGCTAGCCTGGGCTTGTACTTCTGCCACCATCAGTTTGTAGAAGCTCAGCTCTTGACAATGTCACGAGCCACCCGATAGAGAGGGGCCTTTGGACCAGAGAGATTAGAGCCTGTTTTTGATGTGACCACCTGGCTTTGGTACAGGGCATAAATCCTGTTTTCCCAACTTCCTTAGACAGAATCTGTGAGGTGAGTTATTTCTGCCAGAGGGGAAAGAAGCCGAGTACCCTACTCACTACACTGATCCCCTGAGTAGGAGGTTAGCCAGAACCACATAAGGAAATAAGAGAGGTGGGCTAGTTGATTCCATGTGGCAAACACTGATGAAGCATCTACTTGGCTATGCAGTAGGAGAGACTGAACTGTAGTCTCTGCCAGGGTGTGTTTCAAAGTGCAACTAGCTTGATAGAGGTAAGGGGCTACAGGTTGCAGCAACAAGAGGTGTTCACATGAAAGTGTATCCATGCAGTTATTTAGAGGGAACTGCAAGCCTCCAAACTCAGTAGCGTGGGGGAAAAAAATCTGAGGATTAGAGTCATACTGTCTGAGTTTTAATCTCTACCTTACCAACAACTAGCTGTATGGCTGAGAACAAGCTATTTAACCTTTGAAAACCTTGGGTTTCTTATACACATCACAGAAATAACACTAAGCTGTCTCTCACAGGACAGTTGTGAATATTAAATGGAATCATGGTTGTAGCATGCTCAATAAAGTATCACAAAAATAGTTAACATTCACTATGATGATGCTAGCAGTGATGATACTGATTACTATTAAGACATAGAGTAAAATGGGATGAGGTAAGGTACAGGCTGAGACTAGGGAGACTGGGAGGAGTCAGAACCCAAAAAGTAACGAATGCCACCCTAGGAGCTGTGGCTAACATAGATCAGAGAGTAATTCCCAGCAAAGAGAGTCATCCAGATTTGTACCTCCCTGTTTTCTTCTGGTTAATGTTCTACAGTCTCGAAGAGACTGGACAACAGTCACAAACCATTAGAATATCACACTTTGAGATCAGAGTTCTGATTATATACACACCATGAGTATGTGCAGGCCATCAGCAAGCCTCACAAGAACACTGCTTAGGTGATAAGCATAGGATAAGATCTAGAGAGTGGAAGCTGGCCTTTAGCCCTTGATGGGCCAGAAGCTCTTTGTGAGTCAAGAGCAGCTAGAGATGACAATTTCCCTACTTCTCCTGGGGGTGCCTTTAGTAGTGAGCTTGCTCAGACAGCAGAGGGAACTCTTCACTCACCTTCTAACCATTCTCAGGACCCAGGGACTTTCTCAAATCTGGGCAATGGGATAGAGAAAGCAATTGAGAGCTCAGGACATGCAATTCAGAGATACAGTAAACAGCAAAGCAGGGCATGGCCCTATTGCATTATCTGTCAGTCTCAGACAGATGGACTGAGTGGTCATCCCTGGTGATATCATGAAAAAGGCATCCATGCTAGGTTAGAGAGCTTTCAGTTTTTCAGATAAGGGAACCAAGACCCACAGAAGAGAAATTTGCTCCAAATATATTCAATTTGTGAGTCACTGCAGGAAATGTATAATTTGGTTCCTTGCATACAAAATAGCTTGTTATAACAAGAAAGAGCCATCATCCTTGGTGATTATATTAAAATATTTTTATTTCTAAAATGCTATAACGACACAAATACTGTGTTTGAGGCTTCCTGCTAAGATGTCATTAATGCTTTGTCCTCTTAAAATTGAGAGAGATGATTGAATCGTTGCTGTCTTGCAAGGCAGCCTAAAGAAGAAATTCCATCCTCTGGAACAAAGTAGATGTGGGAATCCTCACATTTCCAAATGCTCACTTGGCCTTGAGTATGTCCTTCCGTATCTGCAGACATAAAAGTTGACCCTGGATTAGTCTGAGAACCAGATTAGCCGATGCAGGTCAAAGTACAGAATCTAGTGTCTGCAGAGCATGATAGATAGCAATAACTCCATCAGTGTTGCTGTTGTGGAGATTGGTGTTTGGGCTAAAGGATATGGGATTCCCAGTGTCCCTTAACCTATTAGACATACTCATTAACACCTTGCATGAAGACTGTGACCAAGAGAAATGGTGACCAACAGCCCGTGGGAACTCAGATGATATTTGTTTAACTTCTACAGTCTTCTATAACAGCCCAAGTAGAAGTAATCAATAAAAAAATAAGCTTTAGAAATGTGAAAATCCTAGGCTGTTTGACAGCAAAATGAAACAGATGTTTGGTTTTTGTTTGTATTATTTGTGTGACTGTGTGTGTGTGTGTGTGTGTGTGTGTGTGTGTGTGTGTGTGTGTGTGATTCAACCTCACAAACAGAAACAGACTAGTAAATGTAGGTCTCAGGGGGTCACAGGAAAATATGTGGTTGTCTACAGTTCTCAGAGGAGCAGATTTCAATTCATGCTTGATCTTGTCTTTAGGAAATTGCTCAGAGGACCTCTTATGTACACTGAAAAGGACTCCGTTTAAGAAATCATGGGCCTACCTCCAAGGTCAGTAGCCAAAGCCAGAAAAATATATTCCTACGAAGATGATGTCCTGTGCCAACTTCTAATCCAGAAGAATCCTCTAGCCGAAAATGATGTGCAGATGGCCTACATCATACTTTTCCTAAATTAAATTTGAATGTCTTAAAGGAAGAGGATGAGAGTATTTTTCTCCATAGCTACAAGTCTCTTCTTTCCTCAGCCCAGTGTGCTGGGAAATTTTTTTGTTTGTTTGTCTAGAAAAAGGCTTGAGCTCTGAGGGAGCTATGTTATGGGCCATATTATGAGTAGATGTGACCATGGACAGTGCACAGGCCTTCAAAAGCTCCCTCAGTTCCCTCAGCAGTGGGAACTACTGCATTTACCCCTTTATGTTTCCTACCTTACCTTTGAAGACATTTTTTTCCTGTTGCTTCCACCACCTCTCCCTTCCTCCACTACCCCCACTACCATGCACCTACTTATTAGTTTGGGCCAAATGCACAGTCTTTTTCCTAATACAAAGAATGGCCCCCATCTCTACCTCTATGTAGTTATTCACAGGGGAACTACAAAATTGCCTGGTCCCCAGATTGACAGCTTAATGAGCTCCTTGGAACAGGGCCTATTTGCATATGACAGTGTACTTCAGGTAAGAGTCCCTTGTAAATGAGACAGCAAGAGGCACTTAGAGCATGAAAGAATGAGCCGTGGAAGAGATGGCCAAGATTCTCTGAATAGCCATTTTGCTCATTTTAAAAACTCCCGTTTTTACAGTTAGATTCCTTTTTGCCTTTCAATTGAATTGCAACAAGGTTTGAAGAAAAAGCATTGAAACAAGTAAAAGCAGCTTCCTAGTGCTGAAGGCACCTTTACCAGTCGGTGCTGATTTTCATTTGTTAGGATTCAGAGAACTGGCTTTCACACAAAGATTCCAGCTTAGAGGCTCTGTTAATTCCCTGCCTCCCTAACAGTGTTACGTGGTGGGTCCTCCACATGAAGGTCCAGGCAAGGATGCTTGGCTGTCCTGTAAAGAATGGAGACATTCAAAAGCACAGACCATGTAAAAGGGAGTGTCTTATTTTATATCAGTTGTTATCATTGATATAACACATATCACATGAACACATGAACACATATCAATTGTTCATGGTAATGGGTTTTATTACTGATATTTTTATGCATGTATATAACATACTTTGATTTTATCTAAACGTGAAAGTTAATAGAGATTCTCCTGAACAACTCAATATTGAAATTGAACAGTATTGAGTGTCACTGCTCTGACCCCATCTGCAATGCCTATCAAAACACTAAGTGCTTGTTCATGACAAATGACTGGTATCACAGAACTGCAAAATACAGTCTAGGTGGGTATGGTCTAAAAGAGAAAGGAGCCAGAGAAATGATTTAGGTAGTCAAATAACTGATTTGTAAGCTGGAGAACTAGAACCTACTTTTCAAAAGCCAAGCATGGTATCTCATGCTTGAAATACCAGTGCTGCCAAGGCAGAAGCAGAGGGACCCCTGGAGCACATTGGCTGAGCAGCTTTGCCTACTGAGCAAGATTCTGGCAAGTGAAAATCCTTGCCTCAAAACCACAAGTTATGGGGCTTGAGAGTTAGCTGAGCAGTTAAGAGCACTTGCTCTTCCAGAAGACCCAAATTTGGTTCCCAGTATTAACATCAGGTGTCTCAAAACTGCCTATAGCTACATCTTCAGGATATTTGATGCACCACCCCTTCTATACACACTGCATATACTCATATAGACAAAAACAAATATACATAATAGAAATAAACATTTAGAAAAGAACAGAAATGGGGAAGATGGTAAAGCAGCACTGGCATTGGGTAAAGGCTGATACCCGAGGTTGTCCTCTGAGCTAAATACACTCCCTACACACCAGCACGCCTGCGCCTGCACACATGCCTGGGTCTAATACAGCCAGACACATACAGACACACTGAAAAGAAGTAGAAAGAAAATATTAACAATTATATGATGTGGTAGATAATAATTAAAAGAAAGACTTCTATAGGAGATGTCTTCTATTAGAAAGTCTTCCTATAGGGTCTTTCCTTTTCTTGTGCACTGTTGTGTGTGATCCAACCCTCCAGCTTTGAGCACTGAAAAGAGAGAGAGAGAGAGACAGATGGTTTTCTTCCTGTGCCTTTCTAAGTAAAAGGAATGCGCTACGGAAGAATAGTCTAGAAAGAGCACTCAGAAGATGCTTAAATTCTTGTATAGCACGCAGCATTCTAGAAAGCAGAGATCCTGAATGGAAACCTTGAAAAACAGGTTTTCAGCATGTACCCAACATGTGAGCAATAATAATCCTGTTTCTATCTTTCCAGTTTCAAAACATCTCAACAATACCAAATTGTCATGGAATCAAGATGGTGTCATCCATGGAGTCGGATACCAGGATGGGAACCTGGTAGTCCAGTTCCCGGGCTGGTACTTTATCATTTGCCAACTGCAGTTTCTTGTGGATTGCTCAAATCATTCGGTGGACCTGAATGTGAAGCTCCTCATCAATGCCAAGGTCAAAAAGCAGGCACTGGTAACAGTGTGCGAGTCTGGAATTCAAAATAAGAGAATCTACCAGAATCTCTCTCAGTTCCTGATGTATTACTTACAGGTCAACTCTACCATATCAGTCAAAGTGGATAATTTCCAGTATGTTGATACAAACATTTTTCCTCTTGATAATGTGCTGTCCATCTTCTTATACAGTAGTTCAGACTGAATAGTTGCTGTTGACCTTTATGAAAATGCTGTCTACCATATAGTAGTACTTCATCTGTCCAAACATGGGCAAAAGAACATGTTACAACTTAAACTAAGCATATGAATTAGTGTACTTCTGCTTCTGTCCTTTATAAGGATACAGCTCCAAGGTTTAAAAAGAAGTCTTTCAAAAGGACAGCAGGAAAGAAATGAGGTGTGTGGACAGAGACCGACATGGGCACTAGAAGGATTGGGTTGACCCAGTCTAACCACTAATTCACTGACCTTGAGCCATTTTTTCTCCCCGTGAAACTCGGGGTCTGAATCTGAAAAGGTAGAAGATAGAATTTACATCTCTCCAATGTTTCCTTCATCTCCAAAGACTGGTGAGCTGAGATTCTCAAGCAGAGGAAGGCCTCACAAGGCATGATGAAACTGATGGTACCAGTAATGTCTGCTTGTCATCTCAGCAGGTCATAGGACTTCCATGCTGCCTTATAGAATGATACTCCACCCTCTTGTAATAGGCAAGAGCTCTTTTCCCTCACCTACAGAGTAGCTGTTGCCATCTCCTGAAATGCACATGGTGGCATTCTCTACTTCCAACACCTCTCATTCCATTCTCTGTGTGGTTTTTAACTCCCAGAAAAAGCTGTTGACAGACAATGAGGATCCTCAAAATGTGGAGAACTTCTGGACAACAAACATTAACAGCCTCTCCTGACCTGAGAGGCCACGAAGTTCCCCTGGCCTCATCAAGCTTGGAAATTTTACAGCATTGTGGGAGATTTCTGACTTTTTTGTTTGAATGATGTGTGGCCCCCTGGGAGTTCTACTTCAGTGAGGAATACAAATCTTGCCCATGCTGTATGTAAGGATGGAGTAAAATAGGAGCTTTTCTGGAGGAAAGGAGAAGAACGAAGTTTTTCAGAGAAAGGCTAGAAAAGATTTAAAGGGAAAAGAAAATCCAGCTGTTCTGATGTGCGCAGAACACACACACACACACATAAAATGACAAAGAAGAGTGGCTATGTTAACCTCTTAGGTCTCCTCCTCTATAGTTATTGGAAATGTAGTTGCAATAGCAGGTCAAGTTACGGTGTTTGCTCAGATTCAATCAGGTGTGCAGAGCACATTGCTGGAGAATAAGGAAACCTGTTGCATTTGGGTTATACTAAGAGGAGGGGCAAGTGGGTCTAGGTTAAATCAACACATGTGTTATCGAGAAGACGCCGGTAACCTGAGCGGGAACTAAGCAAATGTTCCCCTCTCAGATTCTGAGTCATAGACTGTCCTCTGGGCAGAGGTACCTGACCTTTGCACTATGGTTTGATCTTTTCCTAATTACAGTCTCTGTCAAACTGTGCTCAGGAAGCAAAAAACTGAAGATAGGAGGGGCACTTCATTTAAAAAGAAGTGCAATGTAGCAAAGTGAAAATGAATAATAGACAATAAGTCAACTGGAATGTAAATAGGAAGTGGAAAATCCAGGGAGTTTAAAACTAAAATATGATACTTTTGAGGGTTAGCCAGCCCCCCTAAGGACTTTCTGACATATCTGTAATAATTATGCACTTTTCATGGATGTGACAGAGTACCTGATAGACACAACTGAAAAATAAAAAACATTTGGCTCACACTTTCAGAACGGAGAGACTTCAGAATGGACAGAAGGCAAGGCAATAAGAATATAGGAGGATGGTCACATTGAATCCACAGTCAGAAAATAGAGAGAGATGGACTCTGGTTCTCATCTTCTTTCCTCCTTTTTTCATCTATTCAGTCTGAGATCCTAGCCAATAGACTAGTACTGGCCACATTCATATGGGTCTACCATCCCTAGTTGAATCTCTCTAGAGACACCATCACAGAAACAGCCAGATGAGTGTCTCCTAGTAGATTCTAAATCCTGTCAACTTGATGATGAAAAAAAGAATTAGCACCACACATGTGAGTGAGCACATTGTTTTTCTAACTGGATATTTAGGCTACCTAAGACTCATGTTTGTTTAGTGGAAGTTCAGTAAGTTTACACACTATGCACTCATGAATTTGTGAAAAATCATGTGTAAATAAAATGTATAAGTTAATGGAAATTCCACCTTCAGTGTACATAAACATGTCCCTGGTGTTGAGGAAAAAAGCTATGTGTTTTTCTTCGCATTCAGAAACTATTTTCATCTGTTCTACAGTACCCATGGGTGCCCTCTGCAGAATTCATAACCTGATACAGAATCCCCCAGACACACACACACACACACACACACACACACACAGACTCAAAGAATCATCTGATATCCAGAAAATGTTTGGTAAGTGTAGACAAAATACTGAGGGAGAATTTGGTTAGAGTTTAATTAACAAAGATCTAGATTCAGCATAATATCACTGATTACTCTGAAACAGATAAAGCTTTCCAATTAAAAAGACAAGTCAACCAGAGTAATCTCTGTAGTAAGGACAGTTAGGCCCTGTGGCCTTTCTGTTGTGTGGAAATCCAAAGAACACCCATCCTTATCCATCCCTCAAGGATTTGCACCCAGCCTCCTGACTCTGGCTCTGCTGTTTCTCATCAGAATTTATTGGTCCTCCCAAAGCCTTTCTGAAAAGTTTCAGGTCACATCTTCCAGCCCCACACGGAAGCAGCATCCAGTATCTAGGGAATCATCAGCCCTCCTCTCTCTACCCCAACCATTTCATCTCCATCTTCTCTAGATTTGCTCCATGGCTGAGTCACAGAAAAGGGCTAGAGCTATAAAATTATGACCCTCAGCACCAAAGGTGTTTATGAAAAGCCAATATTTTTTCTGATTAAAAATAATAAAAGTTACTGTTTAAGTTGAACCTATGCATATATGTATATATAAGTAAACATGTGTGTGCATATACACACATATATTTGTGTATGTATACTTTTCCAGTCATGTTTTACATATCATCTGCTTAGCCTGGTTTAGGGGAGGAAGCCTGACTTTTGCTTTGGGAATTGTAAAGCATATATATGTTTCTATTTATTTTTAATTAAGAAGAGAAGTGAAAATATTATTTCTTCTAGGCTTCATCAGCTTATTTAATAATTATTAATATTATGCCATACTTACATCTGCTTCAAAATTGTTTTAAAATGCAGATAGTCATTAGCTCTTCTCTGCCATCCTCCACTCTCTAAGAGGATCCATGACTACTGTCTGGAATTATATGTCTGCCTTTCATTTACATAAATTTACATTTGTTTTCTAATAAAAATATATAGTACAATTTGTGCGCTTTTAAACTTTTAATAAAATATACTTATAAAACAATTTGTGACTTACAGTTTTTTATATAATACTAAAGTTTTAAAGTTTACACAGACAGACAAACATAAATCTAGTTCATTCACTTAAACATAAGATATTTATTTCATTGTTTCAATATATCTTTCTGCATTCTCATAAAGATAAACATCTAATTCACTTCCAAGCTCTCACTATCTCACACATTGCTGAAACAGACATGGGGGGGGTTCCCACCTCTCTGCCATTTTTCTATATGAAGGAAAGCAGTGGCTCCCCACGGTTTCTGGGTCCACCTTGGCTAGTGAGGGCTTAAATGCCTAAAGACCACTCATTTGAGAACTGGAGCTCAGTCCTGGGAGCCTGACTTTTCTTTCTTCCTTTCTTTCTTCCTTTCTTTCTTTCTTTCTTTCTTTCTTTCTTTCTTTCTTTCTTTCTTTCTTTCTTTCCTTTTCTTTATTTAATTAAATAAGTTTAATTAAATAAAATTAAAATTTTCTTTATTTTTTACATTACTTACATTTTAGTCACTTTGTATCCCGGCTGTAGCCCCTCCCTCATCCCCTCCCAATCCCTCCCTCCCTCCTTCATCTCCTCCCATGCCACTCTCCAAGTCCACTGATAAGGGAGGTCCTCCTCCCCTTCCATCTGACCCTAGCTTATCAGGTCTCATCAGGATTGGCTGCAATGTCCTTCTCTGTGGCCTGGCAAGGCTGCTCCTCCTTCAGGCTGGTGGGGGTGGTCAAAGAACCAGCCACAGAGTTCATGTCAGAGACAGCCCCTGTTTCCCTTACAAGGGAACCCATTGAATACTGAGCTGCCATTGACTACATCTGAGCAGGGCTTCTAGGTTATAGTTATATCCATGAGTGGACGTTGGTTCATGGTTGGAATATCAGTCTCAGAAAAGACCCCTGTGCCCAGATATTTTGGTTCTGTGGCTCTCTTTGTGGAGCTCCTGTCCTCTCCAGGTCTTACTAACTCCCCCTTCTTTCATATGATTCCCTGCACTCTGCCCAAAGTTTGGTTATGAGTCTCAGCATCTGCTTTAATACACTGCTGGGTAGAGTCTTTCAGAGGCTCTCTGTCATAGGCTCCTGTCCTTTTTCTTTTTTTCTCCTTCTTCCAATGTCTATCTCATTTGTCTTTCTGAGTGAGGATTGACCATCTTATCCAAGATCCTCCTTCTTGTTTAGCTTCTTTAGGTGTACAGATTTTAGTATGTTTATCCTATATTATAGGTCTAGTATATTCTGTGTGTGTCTTTCTGCTTCTGGGACACCTCACTCAGGATGATCTTTTCTAGTTCCCACCATTTGCCTGCAAATTTCATGATTTCTTTGTTTTTAATTACTGAATAGTATTCCATTATGTAAATGTACCACAATTTCTGTATCCATTCCTCAAATGAGGGACATCTGGGTTGTTTTCAGATACTGGCTATTATGAATAAAGCTGCTACAAACATGGTTGAACAAAGGTCCTTGTTGTGTGCTTGGGCATATTTTGGATATATGCCTAGGAGTGGTATAACTGGATCTCGAGGAAGCACTATTTCTAATTGTCTGAGAAAGTGCCAGATTGATTTCCAAAGTGATTGTACAAGATTACATTCCCACCAGCAATGGAGGAGGGTTCCCCTTTCTTCACATCCTCTCCAGCATGTGTTATTACTTGAGTTTTTTGATCTTAGCCATTCTGCTGGGTGTAAGGTGAAATCTCAGGGCCATTTTTATTTGCATCT